TCCCAAGATAATGATGAGTTATAACATGTGTTAAGGAAGTATCGTGAGGGTTGGAGACTGATAAGCATATCTGTCAACGTTCTAGGACGAATGTTCTAAAGGGAGGTATAATGTTACACCCCATATTTTCATACGTAAAAGTACGTTATAAGTCAACTGACGTAAGATCAAAAATGAGATCATTTTTGAAAGTATATAAAGTAAGTTAATCATGTCACCTTGGAGGTTACAACCATCCCAAGAGGGTTGGACGATTTAGAAGCTAAATGAATTGAAGAAAATAAGTTTCATCGAAAGTCGACAAGTTGGGAATGTTATAACCCGTAAACTTTTGGGGTGATACCAGAGTTCTTAACTTGATAAGAAGTTTACATTATGATTTCTTTTAGTTGTATGACAGTCGTACATTATGTTTTGAAGTCAAGCGAGCTGTGAAACAAAAGTCGATGAAAGTCGTCACAAGTTATGTTCATAAGTTTCACTGAAACTTGGGTCTAATGTCACAGAGCTTTTCTCCCAATATACTAGGATTAAAGGGGTGATCCACCTATCAAATTATCTACGAGTCTCGTTTCCAGCACAATAAATTTTTTGTCGATACAATATTGGAGTAGAGAGATATTCATATATTTGCGAGATTGCACAGGCAGCCCCTACGGGACCCACTTAGGCAGTGGATGATTCTCCAAGCTTTAAACATCGGGGAAAGGCTTATTTGGGTTCATTTTTTGACCAAACAAGACCCTATACACTCCAAAAACACTCTTAATGTATTATCCATGTTTCTAGAGTGAAAACCAAAGATAAAAACATGAATCTAACGCCAGAAATCCTGTGGTGCTTGCTAGATCGTAGTTCTTCATCTTGTGGCTGTTTTGGAGGATTCTTCAAAGTGAAGTAACCCCAGTTTTTGTGTTGTTGTTATTTATTGAGGTAAGAGTCAGTTCCTCCTCCATATATGCTAGAGTTTCAGGTCGAAATACAAGTGCTTACACACCAACTTGAGCGCTAAAGGTTGATTCAAGAAGAGAATACAACTACTATAGTGTTATGGTGTGATTGAGGGTTGTTGTGAGCTACACCGCTGGGGATTTTAAGTTATATCTACTGCCTAAGGTACGTAATTCATGTTCTTGGTTGTGATTAAGGTTAATCATGTGTTAGTTGAGTTGTTTGAGTGAAAATCTACAAGATAGTAATTGATCACATAGCATAAGGAATCGTTATTTTTTTTTGTAGGCTGTGTTAAGCCCATATATATGGTTGGTTGTGGCTGGAAATTGTGAGAAATAGTTTGATTATGTTATGGCTGCTGTTGTCAAGATTATATATGTGTTAATTAAGTTGACTGAAAAAGAAAACATGAAAAAAAGAGATTGACGATAAAGGTTAAGGTGTTAGGCGTGTGGACTATTTTTGAAGATTATTCTTATGATATTTTGGAGCCCGAGGGCTCGCGAGAGTTTCGTACGTGTTTCGAATTGGTTTGGGGTCAATTCCAGGTAGCTGGTGTGCTGGTGCCTCATGTATTGTAATTACGAGCACCAGCATCGCAATTGCGAAGTGGACAGGAGGGGGGCAGGTATCGCATTTGCAATGCCTTACATGCAATTGCAAAGTTAGGCCTGGGCTGGGTAGGCTCGCATTTGCGATCATTTGGTTGCATTTGCGAAGAGGGCAGACTTCGCATTTGCCACATTCCTCTAGGTTGTCAGGCGCTGCAAATGTGATTCAATGTTCACATTCGCAAGTGCACACCCAAGGTCTGTATTATAGCTTCTGCACCTGAACAAAAAGGTTGGGAAGATGGGATTTGGTCTCATTTTTTCATATTTTTGAACCCTAGACTCGGTAGGAGGTGATTTGGAGAGGAGATTTTCACATACAGCCATTGGGTAAGTGATTGTGATCAATTTTTAACTATATTACATGAATATACATGATTATTTGGGGATTTTTGTCTATATTTTAAAAAATAAAAATTTGAGATTCGACAGTCGAATTGGACTCGGATTTGAAAACAAAACACATATATGGACTCATGGGGTTATGGGTAGTCGAGATCTACCCCTGGACTCGGGTTTTGACCAGGGAGCCAGGAGTTGACTTTTGGGGAATTGTGTAAAGATCATAGGTTTATTAATCGTAATTGGTTTCTCTTACATTGTATGATGATATTAAGTCATTTTTGGCTAGATTTGAGCTATGCAGAGGCGATTTTAAGGGGAAAACTTTTTTGTTGAGTGTTGAATTGGCCTAATCGAGGTAAGTATCTTGCCTAACATTGTGTGCGGGAAACTAACCCTTAGGATTGGGTTGATTGTACTATTTAAATTATGTGGAAGACGTGTACATGAGATGACGAGTGTGTACATGGGCTTATATATAAAAATTGACCGACTTGGACTCTTACATTACTTATAAGCATTTAATTTAAGTTGTTATTATTTGTTTCATCTTTCGTTGTCAAGTTAATTCTTACATACTTTACTTGAAGATGTTGTTGATACCCAATTTTTCCCTCATATTTTTATAAATGTCATGTGAACTTTCAATATATCGATTTTGTATTTATAGGATTCATATAAGTATTTTCTATTATTTTACAAACTAATGAGGTAACTATATAGTGTCGCAGGAATAATGGAGTCACAACTTACACAGTGCACGTCCACACGCTCGTCACCTAGCATGTGCGTCACCTCAACGCTAATCACATATGATTTAGTTTGCTTTCTTGGAGTCTCTTGCACTGTTCTTTATACTGTGGTATCAGAGCCAGCCCATCCTTTTGGAGGGAGGAACAGTTTACTAAATATGTCTGTGTCATTTCCATCATCCTCTTCCCTTGCAAAAATGAATATGTCCCCTACTCTATATAAAACCTTGTCCGAAAAATATGATTACCTCTATTAAGTAGATATACTACCTGATGAACAAAAAGTATCCTCCACTGAACTACCCCTCATAAACCCTTACTCAGCTTTTGCCAAAAAATCCTTTGCACCCTGGACCCAAATTCGTTCCTTAGTCCAACACAGACCAAAAGGAGTTAAAGAATATGTTGCTGCCTCAAAACTTGACCAGCATCCTATTCTTGCCACGCGAGAGGAACAATTTATCACTCTTGAAATACCAGATGATTTTCCCAGACAATGGAGACATCATGGTTTTACCCATATTCATTTTGGTGCTATCCGAATCGCTTTAACATACCACGGAAGAAAAGGTCAACCTGTCGTAGCTCGACTTTCTCTTCTAGATACAAGATATTTGGAGTACCAACATGCAAATTTGGGTACTGCAGAAGTTACCTTAAATGCGGGGACTTTCTTCATAACTATCTTTCAAAATTTCAACATGTCCCTTTATGACCCATACCTAACCGAAGCTCTAAAAATCCAAGTCCAAATCCAAGGAGCCCCACAAGCAAAAGATTCCATCCAAGCTACTCTTCACCACCAAATAGCATGGCGAGTCCAAAATCATGCCATGGGTCTCTGTCTCCCCGGAGGAGAAAATGCTTTACTCTTAAATATTGATGCTACCAAAGGGAACACCATGTGCACCCAAATACCCAGACAGATTTCCAAAGATGATCTAGTCAAAATTCTTCCTGACTCTTGGATCACAAATTATGAAAAGCTAAGGGAACCTGAAGAACCTCTGCAATCTGGTGAACCAACTTTTACCAAAAGAAGTGACAAAACCGTTTCTATAAGCTTTGACCATTTCCATCTCAAAAAACCCAATAAAACCATCTTCTCTTGCCAAATGATTCAACCCAAAGATACCACAGATACATACCCAGAACCTGATGGAGTGTTTTTCTGGAATATACAAAGCATCATGGAAGAACATGACTGGTGCCAATATTTTGACAAAGAAGGAAAAAGAATGTGGTGGTTCAAATGCCCCTTCACTGGTCACTGCCCATGGGATCTTGATTGCACCTGCCAAGACTGTTTAGAAGATCCAATTGGAGAATATGATGAACATCACCAGCACAAACCAAAATCCAAGAAAAAGGAGAAAGCTACTGAAAAACAATTTCGAGCCAAATATGAAAATAAAGATCCTTCAATTGGCTCATTAAGCCATCCAGGTAAATATGAATTTCTTGTCAGTTATGAACCCCAAGAATGGCCAAAATTACCAGAAAAATTCACTCCAAGTTGGGATGATAGTGAAACCACCCCAAAATCCAAACCACCATCAGCTCGTAACCCAGAATCCAAAAAGCAACCTAAACCTAAAATTCCATCAACCCAAAAGTCCACACATCCGCAAATATTTATGATGAGTCCTTCAAGTTCCAGCCACTCCCAAGATTTTCCTCCACTTCAATCTTTCGAAAAAGAGGTTATCAGTCATGCCCCAAAAATCCCAAAGAAAAACACAGTACTACCTTCTGGAGAATAACCCCCAACGAGTGACATTGAAGCAACAATAAATTGGCAATCAGAAAACTCCATCTACCAAAACAAAGTCCTGAACAACATTGGCAACACCACTGGGTGCACATGGAGAGATCATGGTTTTACCATATTCATTTTGGTGCTATCCAAATCGCTTTAACATACCACGGAAGAAAAGGTCAACCTGTCGTAGCTCGACTTTTTCTTCTAGATACAAGATATTTGGAGTACCAACATGCAAATTTGGGTACTGCAGAAGTTACCGTAAATGCGGGGACTTTCTTCATAACTATCTTTCCAAATTTCAACATGTCCCTTTATGAACCATACCTAACCGAAGCTCTAAAAATCCAAGTCCAAATCCAAGGAGCCCCACAAGCAAAAGATTCCATCCAAGCTACTCTTCACCACCAAATAGCATGGCGAGTCCAAAATCATGCCATGGATCTCTGTCTCCCCGGAGGAGAAAATGCTTTACTCTTAAATATTGATGCTACCAAAGGGAACACCATGTGCACCCAATGGTGTTGTCAATGTTGTTCAGGACTTTGTTTTGGCAGATGGAGTTTTTTGATTGCAAATTTATTGTTGCTTCAATGTCACTCGTTGGGTTTTTTCTCCAGAAGGTAGTACTGTGTTTTTCTTGGGGATTTTTGGGGCATGACTGATACCCTCTTTTTCGAAAGATTGAAGTGGAGGAAAATCTTGGGAGTGGCTGGAACTTGAAGGACTCATCATAAATATTTGCGGATGTGTAGACTTTTGGGTTGATGGAGTTTTAGGTTCAGGTTGCTTTTTGGATTCTGGGTTACGAGCTGATGGTGGTTTGGGTTTTGGGGTGGTTTCACTATCATCCCAACTTGGAGTGAATTTTTCTGGTAATTTTGGCCATTCCTGGGGTTCATAACTGACAAGAAATTCATATTTACCTGGACGGCTTAATGAGCCAATCGAAGGATCTTTATTTTCATATTTGGCTCGAAATTGTTTTTCAGTAGCTTTCTCCTTTTTCTTGGATTTTGGTTTGTGCTGGTGATGTTCATCATATTCTCCAATTGGATCTTCTAAACAGTCTTGGCAGGTGCAATCAAGATCACATGGGCAGTGACCAGTGAAGGGGCATTTGAACCACCACATTCTTTTTCCTTCTTTGTCAAAATATTGGCACCAGTCATGTTCTTCCATGATGCTTTGTATATTCCAGAAAAACACTCCATCAGGTTCTGGGTATGTATCTGTGGTATCTTTGGGTTGAATCATTTGGCAAGAGAAGATGGTTTTATTGGGTTTTTTGAGATGGAAATGGTCAAAGCTTATGGAAACGGTTTTGTCACTTCTTTTGGTAAAAGTTGGTTCACCAGATTGCAGAGGTTCTTCAGGTTCCCTTAGCTTTTCATAATTTGTGATCCAAGAGTCAGGAAGAATTTTGACTAGATCATCTTTGGAAATCTGTCTGGGTATTTGGGTGCACATGGTGTTCCCTTTGGTAGCATCAATATTTAAGAGTAAAGCATTTTCTCCTCCGGGGAGACAGAGACCCATGGCATGATTTTGGACTCGCCATGCTATTTGGTGGTGAAGAGTAGCTTGGATGGAATCTTTTGCTTGTGGGGCTCCTTGGATTTGGACTTGGATTTTTAGAGCTTCGGTTAGGTATGGGTCATAAAGGGACATGTTGAAATTTTGAAAGATAGTTATGAAGAAAGTCCCCGCATTTAAGGTAACTTCTGCAATACCCAAATTTGCATGTTGGTACTCTAAATATCTTGTATCTAGATAAAGAAAGTCGAGCTACAATAGGTTGACCTCTTCTTCCGTGGTATGTTAAAGCGATTCGGATAGCACCAAAATGAATATGGGTAAAACCATGATCTCTCCATTGTCTGGGAAAATCATCTGGTATTTCAAGAGTGATAAATTGTTCCTCTCGAGTTGCAAGAATAGGATGCTGGTCAAGTTTTGAGGCAGCAACATATTCTTTAACTCCTTTTGGTCTGTGTTGGACTAAGGAACAAATTTGGGTCCAGGGTGCAAAAGATTTTTTGGCAAAAGCTGAGTAAGGGTTTATGAGGGGTAGTTAAGTGGAGGCTACTTTTTGTTCATCAGATAGTATATCTACTTATAGAGGTAATCATATTTTTTGGAGAAGGTTTTATATAGAGTAGGGGACATATTCATTTTTGCAAGGGAAGAGGATGATGGAAATGACTCAGACATATTTAGTAAACTGTTCCTCCCTCCAAAAAGTTGGGCTGGCTCTGATACCACAGTATAAAGAACAGTGCAAGAGACTCTAAGAAAGCAAATTAAATCATAGATACGAAAGTTTCCCTACAAAGGGGGCTGGCTTCAACAACCCATAAGGGACGGCTTGCCAAGCTACACAAACAGTTAATTTGCTTATAGTCGCAAAAATTTTCCTACAAAGGGGGTTGGCTTCAACAACCCATAAGGAACGGTTTGCCAAGCTACACAACTCAGAAAACTTTTGTACTATAACCAACGTTAGATGTTTATAACTCAGAAAACTTTCGTACTTACAATAAGCTAACATTCTTAGAGTATCCTTACTCTATTTTCATACATGGACCGGCCTTTCCATTCATTCGAAAGAAAGAACAAGAGGGAAATTTATAAAGCACTCATACGTAATATATCACAAGAAGTTTTGCAAAGGTTACAAGATGATTGCAAGATGATCTTCCAACTACTACAAGACCTCCTTTATATAGGGCTAGGAGGTTATTACAAGACAAAATTACATGATAAAATAAACCTATCTTACATGGCAAACTTATCTTACAAGTGGGTCCTTCTAAGCATGTGAAGGACTTTAGGCAAAACAACTAAAAAATACCTGAAAACATGTGAAAGGGGTGAAATATACATGCTGTAGCATGTGAAAGTATGTGGGAGCATGTGACGCCATGTGAAAGTATGGTGTTGCATGTGATGAAGCATGTGGAGGCATGTGGTAGCATGTGAGAACAAGTTGAAGTGGGGCCCGGATAATATGGAAAGATGTGGAAATTTGTCTTGGCTTGGGTAGGATATTTTTGAGAGTTTTTTAGTGGCTAATCTAGGATTATGGTGGGATTAGCAGGGATTTAGGTAATTATTCTTCATTGATTTTAGGGTTGTCTTCTAGGCATCTTTTCAAAGACCTTGTGTAGTAATGCCTGGAATTTGACGGTACTTCTTCGCGGTGCTCTTTCTCTTTTGGAAGAGAGATGTAATCCGCAACCTTAACCTGGAAACGTCTTGAGTGATCTTTTCTCGGATGACTTCGTATGGGGTTTGATATTCTTTTGTTGCTGCCCGGACTCTTTCCCAGTGAGGATGATTGCTTGTATAATTCCAGCTTGCCCAATCATTTGGCCATATCTCTTTCGGAATACACGTATTTTGCTGAAAAAGGATTCTTTGTGCCTCGCTATATTCTTCCTCCATTGATAAAATGGACATGGAAAATTTCCACCAGAATGATGCCTCTGCTTGCGCCAGGACTTTTCCATTAATAATCTTTACCGGCCTATGAAACATGAATACCTTTGCTGTGTAGGAATCATTGAAGCATTTCATCCAGTATCTTCTAGGTTTGAACCATAGCAAAAATATTTTAAGAGCTGGTGCAATGTTATCGAAATCCTTGAAGATGTTACATTTGAATTCCATGAAAATATAATACTGATGGCATAGGTACCAGAAAAACCATAATAGTTCTTGTGGAAAATCCTTGGCTTGAGCTATGAATATATGGCAGAACGGATATTCTGGATTGACCCCATATGGCTTGAGAATGGATCCTCCATGTTGTCGGAAAACTTGGAGCTCGTAATGAGTTCTTCTTTCCATAATAATTGACGGATCAAAGGGATCCATGAGGTTGAACAATTCCGGTGGATGATCTGTTGGCTTTGATGAACCTGTTCCTGGTAAACTTGAAAGCATGAAAATGTGACTGATTAGCTTTTGGTTTGTCTTCAGTTTTGCTGGGGAAAATCTCTTCGAGAATTCTTCCGGTCGAGACAGAAAATCTGCGAGAATATTATCCTTTCCTTTCAGGTGCCTGACTTCAAACTTGTATGGAGAGAACCATTGAGCCCACTTGAGAATCAGAGGATTGGGAATGGTTTTGGCATTTAGCTGAATCATCTTTTGGAAGGCCTTCATATCCATTTCTATCAGAAATTCTGTATGAATAAGGAAGAAATTAAATTTCTTGATTCCATTCTTTACTGCAAGAATTTCCTTGAAAGTGGAGTGATAATTTCGCTCGGCATCTTTGAACTTTCCACTAGTGTATCCGCATATTATCCTCTGGCCATCTTTTTCTTCAAATAGAACAACACTCCAATATTCATTGCTAGCATCAGTTTGCAATATCTTCTTACCGTCCGAAGGGATATAGAGGGACTTGACATTTTTAGAAGTCTCCTTTATTTCCTTGACTGCTTCATCTTGTTTCTTTCCCCATGGTGGAGCATTTTTCTTGAGCATCTCTGTAAGTGGAGAAATGTATGTAGAGATATTTGGGATGAAATCTCTCACATAATTTATTATGCCCAAAAATTGTTGGATTTGCTTTGTTGTGAAGTTGGTATCCGGAAATTTGAGTAATTCTTGACATATATGTGGTCCTGGACTGTATTCACCTTGGACAAAATGCATTCCAAGAAAATCAATCTCCTTTTGAGCAAGAACCATCTTTTTTGCTGAGAGCATGATTCCGTACTGTGTTACCAATGCCTCAAATTGACGAAGCAAGTTGATATGTTCCTCCAATTTATAACTGTGTTTTCCTCTTGTTTGCTCAGCTTTTTTGTTGACATAAAATGCTTCGCAGGCCCATTGTGAATCTGATGGCTCTATCAGATCAAATTCCAAAAGTTCTTCACATTCTTTCTTTGCAAGCTGAAGATGATCTGGATTCATCCCTGAATGACTAGCTTTTGTCGGATTGATATTTTCATTTTTCTTGAAAGGGAGCTTGATAAAAAACTCTTCGTTTTTCCATAACGGGCGTTTCCCTTTCTTCATGAAATCCTTGTAGGATTCGGCACATGATTGTTCAATGAGATGTTGCTCAATCTCTTTGATTTGTTCGTCATTGGTGATTTGGAATAGCCTTGGAATCTCAGAATAAGGTCTGAACTGCTTCTTAAAAGCTATCCCGTTGGCCCTGATCTGGAGTTGATCTCTAAGTTGTCTGTAAATGTCGAATCCAATAGTAAGATCCTTTCCTGGTACATCAGATCCTAGCAGCTTGGTTCTGTACTTCAATCCTGGAAAGAACTCAATTGTGATCGGGTGCTTTGTAATGACAGTTGTGGTCAAGATTGCATTTGATGCAGTGTTGAAATCCTTAAAATGCGGTACCCATTGATCTTCAGGGAGAACAACAGGATTTATAAGTGAGGAAGCAGCTCCGGTGTCGATGAAAGCAATAACTCGAGTTGGTTTATCCCACTTGGATGAATAAACATTGGGTTCTACTTGAGGAACGACTGCGAGCGCATTGATCTCCTCTCGGGCTTCGATCATTGGTTCTAAAATTTGGTAATGATCATTGCCTTGATCTACGTAGATATCAAGGGAGAATAAAGTTTCTTCATTGGGTTCATCAACTACAGAGAATATGGATTCAAGGTCCTCATCCTTGCCGAGATGTATGCCGGTGTAATCTTCAATTTCTTCGATCAGTTTGACAGATCTTTTAGATTGTGGACAATTCTTAGCAGAATGTCCAATCTTATGACAAATAAAACATCTGTTTTTCTTGTGAAAATTTCCTGGCCTTCTTCGTCTGACCCATAAATCTTGTCTGCGTCTCTAGGACCTTGATTTCCCGTCTGAAATTCTTGGCCATTTGAACCTCCTGAATTCTCTCCGTCGCCTAGATGTGTGACAGGAACATCCTGATCCGGTGATTAGATCAGATTTGCGGCATGCTTTGTCAAGCGCTGGATTGTGTTGGATAATTTGTTTTAGGGCAGAGTGTTTCGTACAAATATCATCCAATGCTACGAAAATAGCTTGCCTGATGTAACCAAGTTGTGGGATTGTTATGGACTGAAACTTTTCTTCAATGATGGTCATGGTTCGACTTGCCAGCAACTTTGGAAGGGAAGATACAAAGGCTTGCTTTAGATTGATATCTCCACCGATCTCGAAGTATATCTTCGCCATTTTTTGAAAATGTCTATCAATGTCATTTCTGTCGAATGACACACACTTCATCTCAAAGAGTTGTCTTCGCATTTTCTCCTGTCTTTGGCCAGTATCTCCGCAGAAAACTTCATGTAGGATCCTGATGTTGAAGGCAAAATCTTGGGAAGTAAGTAAAGTATTTTTGTCTTGGATTCCAAGTGAGTTCCACCAATCTCTGAGGATTCCTGAGAACCGTGAAGTGAATTCTGAAAGGATGATATATTTTTCTCGTTTAACCAAATTTTTTGTCACCATCCAAGTATAGAAGT